TCTCATAGTGTTCGAGCTGGGTGGAGCCAGACAGCGCCCTCTAGCTATCTAGCTTAGCATGCTAACCAAAAATGCTACTGGTGAATAAAGTTCGTATTAATGCACCAAAATGCCTGTAACTTTCAGTGTACATGCTAGTACTGCTTACAATAAAAATACATGTTAACAGTTACCTCTGTGAGAGTGTTTTTACTAATGAGCATGCATTATTTTCCTTTGCTGAGACAGCTACTGCGCAGCTATTTGGAACCTTAATGCAGTTGCAGTATTTGTCCACAAGGTGACTCCAACTATTCATAAAGCACATTAATTTTGAGGAACTTCATTGTTAAGCTTTTTGAACTCTGTTACACTCACAAATATGAATAAACTGAACCAACATTGTCAAGAAGAATATGGCAAAATTCCTCCACAACTGATAAACACTGGTAGAGTCACACAGGAAACGAGCACACCTTGTTTTTTGTTGAAGCAAGGAAAGCATAACATGCAGGAAACAGTCATGGATGGGCCCCCGCTGGTCTGTTTTCTGCTTCGGCCTTCCAACTCTCCCTGAGTCTAGGTTGCAGACCTGTTGCACATCAATCTCATCCTCAACCAGCACTCAAGGACCAGCTCCAACAACCAGTCTCTGCCAGACCGTTTGTTTCATTAGAGTGGTAATCAGGCTCCTTCAAGACTCCCCAGCATTTTGGCAAGATTAGCCTAACATATCTGTGTGGCTGAAGAGTGGCTTACTCTTCCTGTTCCCTTTAAGCAGGTCCAGAGGTCACTGCATCTGCTCCTCTGAATTGCCAACCTCCTTTGACTCCATTTACAGATGAAAACAAGTGAGACAAACAATTAAGCCTCGTCACCTTGACTCACCTATCTCTCCTCTCTCAGTAACCCCTGCTGTCATCTCGCCTACATGCTCATTGTTATTCAGTAAATCAGTCAAACTTTGAATTTTGTCTGCCTTGGGTCTTGCTTCAGAGCATTGGCGTAACTTTGTGCTGAACATTGGGTGGGGTCACCTGTCTCTGTCCAAATAAATAAATAAATCTGGCTAAATTCCCAGATGATGAAACGTGCACCTACTTTGCTGGTAATACCTGAAATGAGTAAAGAAAATCAACAGCCTATTTATGCAAGATAATTCATAATTTTATTGGGGGGGGGTCATAACCCCACAAACTCCCTGCAAATTACGCCCCTGCTTCAGTCTGCTTTGCTTTATTTTTTCCAGTAAATAATGACATGTATTGTTGTTCATCTGATGCCTGGTATGGATTAGATCATTTTTATTATGACCTGTTAAATAAAACAAAACTGACACAGAATACAGTCTTTTCTTTTATAAAAACCATGATTGTAAATCTCACATATTAGAAAAATAAAGGAGAAAATCAGTTTTTCTTTCCATGGAGAGGCTCAGTCTATGAAACTGGTCAAACTCTGGATGTAAAATGTGGAGACAGACAACTAAATTATCAACAACTTTGCCTTTGCTTGGTCTAATTACTGAACCGAAAGCCTGTGAAACAACAGTTTTCTTTAGCCGGTCTGGTTTGGGGTTTTGCCTGTAAAGCGAAGCCATCAGATCTTCATGTTCATTCAGCACAGCGATGCTGTGCTGCTGTCGGCTGCTAATTCAGCTGCAACCACATTACTCTCCTTCCTAATAAGGTTTACTGAGGGTCTGTCTTCCCAAGCTGCACCCTCCTCCACCCTCACAAACATCATAATGGAGCCTGACACACGCATGTGCCTTTGCTTTTTGCAGTGTGCTCTTGTTAATGAGTGTTGTGCGTGCGATTATGTGCGTACAGAAAGATTTCAGAGTGAAGGCAAATGTTTGTTTGTTTGAAATGTGTCATCAAATGCTGAGCTTCATGCAGAAAGCTGAGTCGTGTTGGCAACATTAAACTGGAGCTAATGTCTACAAAACCTGTATCATGTTTAACGGAGGTTCTAAGTTCCACATCTGTGTTATTAAAGCAGAAAATACTTGTGTGTGTGTTTATAAATTATGTAGGTTAATAATTTCTCCTGATTTTGTTTGACTGAGATGAGCCACTCTCATTAGGAGCCTCTTACAAGGATAATTTGGTAAGCCAGTAAAGGTCAGGAAGCCCAGCAGGATGCAGACAGTGATCAAGAACTCTACGCTCTGCTTTGACCTTCATACGTCTGGCCACATTTTGGCAGGCAAGCTCTAGCTTCTCCCCTCGGTTTCAGAAGGATACATGTGGTTCATTATTAGCTCCTTTCCTGCTCTTGCTGAAAATCAAGTTCTGTGCTGTTAGCCAAGATGCAGTTAATTTTATTGACACAACTATTGTCTTTGATCAGTGCAATGCCCTCACTTATAAGGATCATTAATGTTAGAGATGATTTATCATCATTGCCCCTGTGCTAATCTTTTAGTCCTCGGTCATTTCTATGCATTGCTAAACAGGTTTTGGGTGCTCTGCATTCAGAGTCATATACAAAGCTGCACACGGGCACAGTCCAGATAAAATGTTTAGGACCACTTGCCTTTAAAAGGCCAAATCTGTGCAAAAATGTGGATTCATTGTCATTTTCTATTCATTCTTTTAAATCACGGCTAAAAACATATCTTTTTAAACTTGCCTTTTCTACCAGTTAAATGCTGGCTTGCTTGCAGTGACCTATTGTATTGTATTGTATTAAATTCTCTGCTATCTTTCCATTATTGGTGTCTTTTATCATGGTGGTACAGTCTTACCTTGCTATAACCCATGTGCTGCAGTTTACTCTTATTGGTGGCTTTTATCTGTGAACATAATCCGTTACTTTTATGTATTTGATGTTAATGTGTGAACTGTTTTATTTTTTATTGTTTTATGTAAAGCACTTTGGTATGCCCAAGGCTTTTAAATGTGCTCTATAAATAAAGATTGTTGTTGTTGTTGTTGTTGTTGTTGTTTTCTGTCAGGCAGTCACACTGTCATGATGCTCTGTTGGCAAAGGAAAACAAACCTTCCCTTGTTGAACTGCATAAGCAGGATCTCTCACAGCGCGCCATCGCTGCTGAGGTGGGACGCAGTAAGACGGTCATTTGATATTTCCTAAATGATCCTGAGGGTTATGGAACAAAAACTCAAGTGGAAGACCCAAAAAAATGTCACCAGCACTGAGTCAGAGGATCCAACTGGCTGTCAGTCGAGACACTGGACGATGCTTGACCCAAATTAAGGCCGTTACTGGTGCCGACTGCAGCCCCATAACCATCAGATGCCATCTGAGGCTGAAAGGCTTCAAGAACAAAAAAACGTCTCGTCTCCTTGAACGCCACAGAACTGACCGTTTGGACTTTGCTACAGAGCACCAAACATGGGACACTGAAAGGTGGAAGAAAGTTTAATTCTCTGAGGAGAACAAAAGTAACCTCGATGGTCCTGATGGTTTCCAACGTTGCTGGCATGACAAGCAGATCCCACCTGAGGTGTTTTCTATGCGCCACAGTGGAAGGGGCTAAGGTCAAATGGTGCGACTCTGGGACTTTCCACCATTTGACCTTAAAACTGAAGAAGCTTCTCAGATGAGAGGCTAAACGTCTTCAAGCAACTTAAAGAAGTCCAGACGCTTTTCTTTCCAAGCTCCTTAGGCTACAGTACACAATGCCCGCAGGACAAGAGACTTCTTATAACCTCACTATTTTGGATGATCCTGCATGTTCCCCTGATCTAAATCCAAGTGAGAACCTTTGGGGATGGATGGCAAGGGAAGTTTACAGAAATGGACAACAGTTCCAGGAAGTAGATGTCCTTCATGCGGTCGTCTTCACCACTTGGAGAAATGTTCCCTCTCACCTCATGGAAACGCTGGCATCAAGCATCAATGTTTTCAATGTTTGAAGTGATCAACAATAACGGTGGAGCGACTCACCACTGAGTTCATGTTTAGAACTTCTGTTTTGGGGGGTTTACAGGGTTTTTTTTGGTGTGGTCCTAAACTTTTGATCAGCTGTAAAACAGCCTGTTTCAGTTTAAGTGTCCCACCTCAGCAGCGATGGCGCGCTGTGAGAGACCCTGCTTATGCAGTTCAACAACCCGACCACGTTCAACAAGGGAAGGTTTGTTTTCCTTTGCCAACAGAGCATCATGACAGTGAAATGACAATGAATCCACATTTTTGCACAGATTTGGCCTTTTAAAGGCAAGTGGTCCTAAACATTTGATCAGCTGTAAAACAGCCTGTTTCAGCTTGTTTTCAATAAATTGCTCAAAAAAATGTTTTGTCTCACTCCCATTTCTTCTTGTTGCATGTTGAAGCTCTACGTTGAACCTTGTTAAGATCCAACCATGCAAAATAGGATTTTGGGGCCATTTTTTAAGTGGTCTTAACCTTTTGATTGGGACTGTACCTGTTTGCATCTGTCTATATGACTCTTGAATGCAGCAGCACCCAAAACCTGTGTTTTGCAATGGGTAAGTGATCCTCATAAGTGAGGGCATTGCACTGAACTTGACTGTATTCAAAAAAACAAAAAAAAAACAACAACAACAGAAACCTGAGTCAGTAAGCAAGGTGAGTGCAGCTTAAGTGTTGTGATGAAGGTCGCAGCGACACTGTGCTGATGACAAAACCAGTAAAGAGAAAAGCAGAGCAGGTGCAGAACTACAAGTCAAACAACACTGAAAAAACTGACAAGAGACATTTATGAACTAGTTTAGTGAGCTAACGTTTGCAAACGATTAAAAGAGTTTGAACAATTCAGCCTCAGCAGACGTGGATCCTTCAGTGAATCCAACAAGAAAACAAGCTCCGTCTTAGCAGCTTAAAAATACCAAACCGCTAGTATTGAAAACAATTGAATCCACTTTTATTTTGCTTCCTTCCTAGCTGTAATAATCTCCACGATCATCATCTCGTCCAGCTCTAAGACGTCTTAAAATATTCCATACTTAACAAAAAGTGAAAATGTCCCAGTTTTTGCTGTGGCAGGCAGGATGAAGGAGCCAAATGCAGGACTCATACATAGAACAGTAAACTCAAAGCGGCAGCTTTATTCGCTGGGAAAAATAATCCGTAAAATAAACTCACAAAAATAAAACTTGAACATAGAAACTAAGAACTAAACACTGGGAGACTAGAAAACACACAGCAAACAGGGAAGGACGCGACAATAGACAGAGGAAAACGCAGGACTTAAATACACAGAGGGATAATGTGGGAATCGGACACAGCTGAGAGCAATCACACATAACGAGATGTGGAGGAAGCAAGACTATCAAAGTAAAACAGGAAACAGGAGACAGGGAGTTGACAAGGAGAAATAAAGAATATTAAACCAAAAACACAAACGCTGGGTCGCCTGAACAACAAGGGTCAGATGAACAGAGTTCTCTAAAAATATTAAAGCAGTCCAGGCAATAACATTTATTTTTCCAAATAAAATTCCATCAGTCATGACATGTTTTTGTCTTTGTTCACAGTATTTAAAAAGCTTCAATTATGTAGGAAAAAAACAGCAACATGTGTTTACTGGCTGTGACACTCTCAGCCTATCTGGACCCAAACAGAGGAAACGTGACGCCAGATTTCCGAGGGTACCGGTGAGAAAGGGGTCCATCTGGAAAACAAAGTCCGAGACTCACATTTAAAACCATTTCTGTGAATCATATGTCCTACACTTTAAAATAGAAAAACTCTTTAAAAGGGAGAATTTCAATAAACTTCAGGGAACGCCATCAGTAAGTCGGCCAACTTCAGTGTGACATGTTTTTGGGATGCACTCAAACTTCTGCATGTTTGTAGATAAATCCAGCACTGTATTTATTCCTCCCCTCACTGCACAAGCGCCAGCATGGTGGAGCGGCGGTGTATCGATATCAGGCCAAACGCACAGAGAGCAGCTTGTTGGGTCAAATAGCTCTGGTAACAGGTCTAATTGAATCTATGTCAGGTTTTCACTGCAGGTGCATCCACCATAGCAAGCAGCAGGGTGGAAATCAATACCCCCTCGCTCCATCCATGAACACACTAATTTCATTGAAGGCCAGTGTGTGTGTGTGTGTGTGTGTGTGTGTGTGTGTGAGAGAGTGAGTGAGTGAGTGAGTGAGTGAGTGAGTGAGTGAGTGAGTGAGTGAGTGAGTGAGTGAGTGAGAGAGAGAGAGAGAGAGTGTAAGGGAGATGGAGCGAATGAGGTACATATGTAGGTTAATGAAGGTCACTGTTTAATCTCATTACAAGATGTGTGCACGTGCAGGAGAGATGAGGCTTTTTTTGTGCAAATCAGGACCTTTGTTCTGTAATGAGAACAAAATGTTAACTTATTCTTTCCAAAGACAACTTCTTGCCACAAATGCAGCAGAACTATAATTCATTATGAGTAATGGGTGATGATGTAATCTAGCATTGACTACAAAGTGAACTAAAGTTCAGAATCACAAACAAAGCTTGAATCTCATCTCTACAGAACAAGTTATTTATATAAATGTGACGCAGTTACTCGGATCCAAGACTGCATTCTTTTGCTCACATGACTTGTGTGCATATTGTGGACTTTAGAGAAAAGTCCACAATATGCACACAAGTAAGTCAGTGTGTGCATCTGTACCCAGAGTACCATCCTGAATTTGACCCAGGGCAGCAGTGTGGAGGCTCAGGGTGCTGAGGATTAGAGGAGGTCTGGTCATGGAGGGGGCAGAATCCTTAGGCTGGTGCAGCACCTCCTCTGGTCTCATGGAAGTGGGATTAATGACGGGTGGAGCTGGTGGGGCAGTCGGACTCTGTGTCTGGGGAAAAAATTACATTTTCATTAACAGACTAAAAACAACTCCTCCCCCCTGCAAAAAAAAAAAAAAAGTAATCGGTATATCTAATATTCTTCAGATGATCTCACCGTGAGGTCAGCTGTGGTCATCTTTGTCTGAATGAGATCTGGAGGTGTCAGGGGGCAGGTGACGGTTTGGTCTTTCAGCAGAGCGTTGAACGGGTTTTTCTCCTTAGCCTGAACAAGTTGTAACAGGAAACAACCACCATCAGTCTTTTAACCTCAGTGGACAGACAGCAGTGGATGAGGGTCAGTGCCAGGTGCTCATACCTGGATGTGAGGGACAACCTCGCTATCCCAGATATACTCCAGGGCAGGCATTTCATCTTCAACCTGGTACATCAAGACAAAGTATGCAGACCATAAATGTTAATTTACAGACACATTTTTAATTGAAAATAAAATCTATAACTGGAATTCAATTTAGTTTTATTCATACAATCACAACAACAGACTCCTCAAGGCGCTTTATATTATAAGGTAGATCCTACAATAATACATACAGAGAAAACCCAACAACCATATGACCCCCTATGAGCAAGCACTTTGGCGACAGTGGGAAGGAAAAACTCCCTTTCAACAGGAAGAAACCTCCAGCAGAACCAGGCTCAGGGAGGGGCGGGGCCATCTGCTGCGACCGAGAGCTGTAAGAACCGTACAGCTTACTGAATACGACTTTTATGGAGGAAGGCCACAGAACGATCACCCTGCAGGAAAAAGAGGACCTACGTAACACTCCAAACAACACAGTTTCAATTTCTTAGGTTAGCTTCAACGCCGCGACCTGGTCTGTGTAACACTTCTGATCTCAGATTTTAGGAAAAGAGAACCTCTGAGCATCTCCTCACTTTGTAAAATACGATGTGACAGTGAGCGAAGCGCCAACATCTGAGCAAGAACGCCTGCTCTCAGTCAAAGCCAAACAGGCAGCTCAGTGTGAGGATTGCTTCGATGAGCCACCTCATCAGTCCTGTAAAACTAGCTGGTTAATAAATGATGGGAAGAAAGCCACATCTATAACTTCAGTGTCTCTAATGTCACTAGCATATGAAAAATGTGTGTATAATATATAAAATATACAAAAATACCAGTCAAATGCTATTTGGACACGCTGTAACGCTGTCAAATCTTCTTCCCAGTATGTTCAGTTTAACAACTTGCTGCTCATTAACATAAGAGAATGACAATCTTGTAATACAATATCCATTAAACACTCACCGATTGGCTGCAGTCTTATTTATAGTCCAACAACAAGCCGTGACCTTCCAACAGCCCAGCTATACATTAAGCAGCGTTGACTGCAACTCTCCCTTCAGCGAGATGACATGTGTGTTTGAGCCAAGTGTGTACACCAACTGTGTGTGTGTGTGTGTGTGTGTGTGTGTGTGTGTGTGCGCGCGCTGCAGCGGGCCTGCAGCAGTGACAGTATGGCTGCAAAGATAAGAACTATGGACAGTGGAGAGTAAAAGCTTTACATGAATGTGAGAAATGAATGCAATGAGAGGCAAAGACTGCATTCGCAGATAACAGACAACAACAGCGTAAAGCTGCAAATCTATTTTAAAAAAACAACAACATTTAAATGACAATCCTGGGAGTATTTCAGTCTTTAAGGACGCTGTACAAAGAGCAGCAGTCGTTTGGTGCTGAGCTCGAGTATCAGCGTTTAACGCAGGGCAAATATCTGCTCTTTGGACGGGAAGTGCTCAGGAGGAAGAAATTAATCTTAATTAAGCTAATGAAGTTAAAAAGCTGAAGATGTTGTTCCCAACTGATTAAAATTGAACACCTATAAATAGAGCTGGGCGATATATCGAGTTTTTAAAAAATATCGATATATTTTCATACGAGATATAAGATGTGACAACATCGTTTATATCGATATAGTCTATGTTACGTTATAATTATACTTGTGGAGCCACAAGTTTGTCTCTCTTTCGTCCATTTTTGTCTCTACGCTGCGTTACTGGGCCTCGCCTCTCCTTCACTGAGCACAACAACCCCTCCCCAATAGCTTCACCTGCAGGCAACGACAAGATGAACACGGCAAATCTCCGTTAATGAGTTACCGCGGATCGCCCCGTGCATGGGGCTGGACAGCGTCAACATGTTAGCGAGCTAACGACCTAAAATCCTTTCATTTTCTCAAAACTCGACAGTGCACCTTATGTGCAATCTGTCAAAAAATGTTTTAGTATGACTTTGGTCAGCTACGGAGCCGCACCGCTTGATGGACTGTCGGAGCATTACGGCTGAGCCTCGCGGAGTGATACGTACTGTGCTTCAAGGTAATATTACCGTATTGTGTGTGTATAAGGACCATAAATGGCACCTGTAAGAGACACTGTTACGAAGCGGATTTCAAACTCCAGGCTGTCAGTCACACAGTAGAACTTGGGAACAGAGCAGCCATGAAATCTGTCTTTGTTATTATGCTCAGCGTCTTTTAGTTTACATTTTGACTCCACAATTGTGAGCTCTTTGTTTAGCACAAAAACAACATTGTGTTCTTTTATTTATGGAGCATTATTATTTAATAAATGCTGATAATTTATTTTTGAGTAATTTCTTCATGTACATCTATGCTGTATGTTAATAAAAGTGCCTGATTGACATTGAGACACAGCTTTGACTAAGAACTCTCTTTTTGTTCTTACTTTATGGCTTAAATAAAAAAAAAAAAAACCCGAGATATATATCGTATATCACCATCCAGCTAAAAAATATCGAGATATGAATTTTGGGTCATATCGCCCAGCTCTACCTATAAATAACACAAATGTTAGACGTGGGTGCAAAACTCAACCTTATCCAACAGTCTGAAACGTTATTCTCTGCATAGCTGTGGCCTTCTAATGCACCGCTGTGTGTTTTCTTTATCAGTTTACAATGAAGATCTATATTTATGCAAAGAGAAAACACACTAAATGGAGGCATTAACCACGTATGCAGATGAGGTGGTGTTGGAGGCTATCCCAGCTGACGCCCAAAGTCAGCTAAATGCAGCTGGATACATGCGGATATACAACCATAATCTTTCTAACAGTTTTAAACTAATAAAAACATTTTTTAAAAACCCAATAATATTACCCAGAAACATAAAATGATCTTTTGCCAAATCTAACAACATCCCACGGGGCAAGAGCACTATAGCCCTGCACTATGTTTCTATGAGACCAGTGTGCTACCTTCAGTTTGTCCATTATAGACTCTTCAGAAGTGTCTCCTGGCTCTGGGGATGAAATCATTTCCTCCCTCACCTCTGGCAGGTCAGCCACCCCCTCTCCCAGGTAGAGACTCACTGGTGTGACCTGACAGCTATCCTGTTAAAAGAATGATAAACTGCTGCTGCTGATCATGATTATGGTACCAAACCAGTGTTTTTGTGGGTGCTGCTCACTGCTGCAGGGCTGCAGGGTGTCCCATGGCCTTGGCTCAGCAGGACAGTGTGGATGTAGATGTCATCATCAGTATGTGTGTCACACAGGTAGAGCTGCAGCACGTCTCCACTGTAACAATCCAGAGCGCCCACCAGGGTGCGATCACAGCACAGTTTCTGGAAGTCGGCTGTTGCCCCAGGAGTCCAGCTGCCCTGCAGGAGACCAACCACAACACTCATTTATGAATCCAAACCATAAGAGCACTGAAAGCCAAAACATTCAATTAAACCATCACAAGATGGCTGAGACGCTGGCATTACCAAGGCACTGGTGCTGGAGTCTATAGAAAGGCTTGTCTTTGTAAGGAAACTGAAAATTAAACTAAGGCACAGACTCACAGAGGTGGGTTTAATTCCAGCAAGTGAAGATGGGACAGCTTGTGCTGGAAGAACCGAATAAGCCGACCTGGGAAACAGCCAGATAAATTTATAAAATATGCACACATCTCTTTTTTTAAATCATCCTTTCAACGAGAGCTTGCAGAGGCCCCTACTTGAGGAACTTGAGGTTGGCGGTTGGTACCACTGTCAAATCACCAAAGTCCACATAGTACACCTCCACTTGAGTGGGGGAGATCACCTTATGGATCACCACCCGGTAGAACCACAGTCCGTCAGGTGACACGCAGCAGACCTGACCCCGTCGAACAAATCTCTGGGGAAGGCGATAGCACTCCGACATCTGAGGACAGGTGTAGCATCGTCTAGGAGACGAGAGGAGGAAAAAGAAAAAGATGGTACTGATCAGAGTAGGCACGGTTAAAGAGTCCGTACAGTAGCTGCTGCTGCTAACACATGCACCACCTCATCGCAAAGATCATGTTCTCCATAGCTCGGGCCTCCTCAGTCTCGCTGAAGCGAATGTAGAAATATCCGGGTGACTCCACCCGCTCCACCAAGACTTCCACCAGCTCTCGAGCACAGTGGCGCGTCGGTGGTTTGAGAGGCTTACTTTGGAGGGCGTCGAGGGGTACAGCAGGGCTGAGATGCACCGGAATTGCAGAAATCTACAGACAAACACACAAAAGGCACTCGATAACATTTAGCTCCTCTTACAGGCTGTAAAGTGCAGTTCAGAGTCATCACTTTTAATGTCCGTGCATCAAGCATCACTGATTACTTGCTTTGGTCAAACCACAAAAAAAATGTGTTTTCAAACCATTTCCTTGTGTGTGTTACTGGTAACCAGCTCGTTGTTCTCATCATCTGATGGTGGGACAATTGGAAACGTCTGATCATCATTAAAACTCTCGCTCTCTTTTGAGTCTAGAAACAGAGACAAATACATTTCCTGCTTGGTTGAAAGTCATAACTGCACAAATATGCTCCAACGTGTGAAATCCACACGTGACTGTAATTCGTGACTTTACTGTGAACAAACATAAGGAAGAAAGATGTGGGTTAAACACTCATTTATATTTACAGTAACACTAAATAGTCATTCCTCATGTAAGCGGGCTGAAGCAAACGATGCAATGATAAAGACACACCTGGACGTGTATTCTCAGTATCACGTATGGTCCTGATTATCCAGTCTTGTCCACTGCCTCCCTCTGCTGGTCTTAGGTGGAAAGTGTCACTCATGGCACCGATGAGTTCAGTGACGCTAACAAAGCCGCTCTGCTGCAGAGGCAAGTCCTCGCCAAAACACCTCTGGGAGGAAAGAAAGGAGAATATTTAAGATTCCCGAGAAGATGAGTGTGCATCTTTTATTAATGTCTGCTGTGATCATGGGCGACCTCCAGGGTGGGGGGGAGCCAACAGTGTGTGTGTGTGACAGGTTGTTTCTATTAGTGATTAGGATGGCTCTGCTTCTAACATCCTGGATCAGTTTGATGTTTAGAAAACTCTCTGTTAACAACACAAACATGCAAACTTGTTTTTACCTTGTACTCTGCTGGCAGTTTGTGAACTGATAATCCGCCGTCCGTCTGACCTATGACCTGCAGAGTTGTCGACATGTTAATCATTTTCACGACATACTTTCTTTAACATCTGTTGACCTCTTACGGTCATCTGTGATTAATACGGCGATTTCAGATCGACGACAGGGGCTGAGAGCGAGTCGTATACTCGCGCGTCCTTTCCCCCCCACATACATGAACTATAACAGCACTTGCAGACTTTACACTTGTTATGCTTGCATGATTAAAACTGGGCTCAAAGACATATGCTGATAAAGCGGTGCGAGGTCTCACCGCTCGTAGTTTGTCCTTCAGCTCCTGATTGATGGTGCCAGCAACTCCGTTCTCCAGGATCTGCTGACGAAGCCCCTCCTCCAGCTAACATCACATTTAAGAAGAAGAAAGAAACTGCACTTAACAGATACGAGGTATATCAAATAGGATTTCTCACCATTACGTGACAGGATTTAGTAACAGCACTATTTCTGATTTTTCTGCTGTAGTGTGCCTGAACAATTACACCCCAAATGTTTGACCAAAACCAGAGTCTTTTAGGCGCCACAGTTTATCCAGTGAGAAGCAATGGAACATTAGACATTTCATATCTGAGATGGATTTCAGCTGCAAATGAAACCCAACCTGGAGGACATGGTTATCAAAGAGCTGAATCTCTGGGGAAAGCTGAGCTTTGGTTTCCTGGTTCTTCTCGTCCGCCCCCGGCTTGCTATCGACGGTTCCCGGCTCACTACGGGCAGAATCCAAGGAATTCTGGGTAGATGTCTGGTTCAGAGATGTTGGTTTCTCTGGAGCTTCAGCTGAAGAGGACGCAAAGGTGTTTCAAAATGCAGACTAGTGCAATAATACAAAGCCAAATTTCTCAGTTTCATTTCATTTACATGGCACCAAATCTAACAGTTAGAAGTGCAAAAAACAAACAGAGCGAAACAAAACTACAAGAAAAAGCCCAAAGGACGAACCTGGAGGTGTTTTTGGCGACTGAAGTTTGACATCTGGCCTTTCAGAATCTGGCCTGCATGTCCTCAGCAATGCTGGTTTTATCAGTCCACCCCTCTTTGTTGAGGCGGGTAATTTGAGCAGTGGCCTAGGGATCATATGCTCCCTCAGGAACACAAGTGAGCCAAACCTGCTCTGGCTAATGACAAGCATATCTGCCGCTGCCCCCAACATCTCTCCAGTGGAGTAGAACCCATAGCTGCGAATGCAAAGCGGTCGTCCAAAGAAGCGCCAGAAAGAAGCCTCCAAGTCGGATAACCTAATGGGACCCTGAGAGAGCGGCCGCATTATTACTCCACTGAGAGTACGGTGACAGAAGAAAGAAAAGCCTGTCAGGTATCTTCTCTTCAAAATTCACGTTAACAGGCTAGACCTTATAAAGTGCAAAAAAAGCCAACAATCTGTGCTCTCATTTTGCTCATGCTTCATTTGAAAGATGCTGTGCTTATACCAAGCAAATAAACCAGCTGCAAAATCTACAGCAGGCTTTAAAAGCCCAGGTTATAATGGACACAAAATATTAAACACATTTCATTCATACTTGTGAGAGCAGTATTCGCAGCTCCGTCCTCAGCTGTGCAGGGATGGCTGGAGGAGCGGGGCCTCTTCTTGGGAGGACCACATAGTGGGACACAGAATGAGTTGGAAAGTAGCGGGCACCTCCCCTGCTGACCTTTTTGTTTGGCTTAGAGCGCTGCTTGGTCACCAGCTCCTCGATGCGTCGAGTGGTCTCGTGACCAACAGCTGCACAGGAAACCAGAGCGAGAGTGTCAAATACTTAAACCTGTTCAAGAGTTCAAAGACAAGAGCGCTGATGCCTTAATGAGACGCTACCTTTTAAGAATATGCTCCCATCTGGCCTGAAGTTAATGGACACCACATCAGGCATCTGCTGACTCATATCCAAAATGTTCCTGAAGCCCAGGACTTTCAGGGGCATCGAATGGCCCAACATGGTGGCGTAGTCTCGTAGGAGCTCTTCCGGAGCTAAACCATTCTTGGATGAAATGAGCAAGGAGCGAACTTCCTTCTTCAGTTGAGCCAAAATGTTCTCATGGTTCATCTTACCTGAATACATCTGGAAAACACAGCAGCTGGAAGTCAAGAACCTGGCATAGAGGAGAACCGCTGACACCCTACCTTTCTCTACACACAAAACCACTTTACTAAATATGATTCTACAATTTAAGTGTGAAGGCAAACGCATGGCTTTATGTTTTTTGCGTTTAGGTCCACAGGCTTGCCTAAAACAGGCTAGCCTAAAACAGGCTAGCTTAAGTTAGCTCCTGCCTTTAATAGCTTGAGTTAGCTCCTGTCTCTAATAGCTTTAGTTAGCTCCTGTCTCTAATTAGCTTTAGTTAGCTCCTGCCTCTAATTAGCTTTAGTTAGCTCCTGCCTCTAATTAGCTTAGTTAGCTTTTTTAGTTAGCTCCTGCCTCTAATTAGCTTTAGTTAGCTCCTGCCTCTAATTAGCTTTAGTTAGCTCCTGCCTCTAATTAGCTTTAGTTAGCTCCTGCCTCTAATAGCTTTAGTTAGCTCCTGCCTCTAATTAGCTTTAGTTAGCTCCCGCCTCTAATTGACCCCAGGATGTATGGCAACAGGTGTATGGAAATCCCGAGGACATTACAAGGGTTAATTAGCTTGACTTAGCTCCTGCCTTTAATTAGCTGGACTTAGCTCCTGCCTTGTGAACCAGAAACGTAGAAGTCGCAGGAGAACATTAATGCACAGTCTTAAAAAACTGTCTTGTCTTGTTATAAAATCGTTCAAAAAGCATCTTTAGCCTAAGGTTTAGTTACCAAAAAGCATCAAAATGCTAACAGGACAGTCTCACCTGTCGGTAGCTGCGAGAGGCCGAACCTTCTCTCTCCGCGCGCCTCTACTTAGCAGGACTTGCTAACGATACAAATTCAGTTGCCAAAGCAAACAACAAAACAAACCAACAACTTTAAATTCGAAGAAGCCGAAAGCCGTTTTAGTCAGCTGCCTAGCTAATAAACTGTTACTCCTTACCTTGACACTGGTCCCACAACAACAAAGAAGAAGAAGCACCGCACGTACAGGTGGGGCGCAGAGCACTTTGTCCCACCCACGTACCGAAACTGTCCACCACAGTTTGATTTACAAAAAGCCAAAAGACGTTTTTCCAGTTTTGTCATTTTGAGACTCACAAGACGAATGGATGGGTTCATAGAGTAGAATAAAATGCCTTTTATTGTCACTATTCACTGTACAGTGAGATACAGAGCATCCCCACTCAGTGCAGACGTGTGGGAAGAGAAAGGGCGGTGAGGTGCACGGCTCTGCAGCATATGAACCCTATTCAAAAATATAAAATGTAAAAATATACAAATAAATAGTCGTATATATTTACAGTGTGGGTTATCACACGTAAATTACGCGGTGGTAGTCTGTGTAGAGCGAAGTCCTTGGATTGGTGAGTGGATGTGTTGTCAGTCCATGTGGGAGTTCAGGGTGGTTTTGGCTTTGAGTCTGATGCACCTGTAGCGCCTACCTGAGGGAAGCAGGTTGAACAGGTCAAAGCCAACCATTCAGCCTGAAACCCAAAGCAATGCTGGACAAAGCAGAACGTGGATGACAACAGTTTTTACGGTTTGTGTGTTTAAAATGAGAGACCACGAGGATACGAAGATTCCGTGTTTTATCCTCACTGTGTTTACTTTGTCAGGAGTGTGACTCCCTCACCTCAAACTGCCTCTCACCCCACATTTACTCTGCAGCTATCTGGTCACTCTTGTAGCCAGCTATGTCTTCTTTGTGAAAACAGCCGTGGAAAAAATACGAGTTACTTTTCCACGCCTCAAGAGGGCCACGCAATTAGGTTTGAGTTTAATTAAGCACAAGTCAGGGAGGTTACAGCATGTCTTTTCCTTTCCAAACAAAGAAAGCTCTTTCAGACCTGCGTCTGCACATTCCTGTATAAGACACTCAGTGTGAGCTTCACTGGGATAATTAGTCCAAACAGTAAAAACCTCACTTCTGTATTCCACATATCTCCGCGGGGTGTTGACTCTGCCACAGAAGAGACGTAACCTAAACAAGTTTCCATTTGCATGCATGTGGTTAAATATTAACAGCATTAAATTCAGCTTTACACTGCAGGCCACACATTAATTAGTGGAGTCTTAGTGGTCCATAAACAAACATGTAACATGTATAGAAAACATTTCTTTTATCTTTTTTATCTCCAGAGGAAAATGTGTGGATTTAAAAAAGTCAAACCCTTGATGCTGCATCAGTTTTATCATTTTATAACTTGAATAGAATTTTTGCTAAAGCATTTGTTCTTATTTATGTTTTTCAAGTTGTTATTTTTGTAGTTTATCTCGAATTAATTTCATTCTTGCTGCTGTAACATGTGAAATTCCCCAGTGTGGGATTAATAAATCCTGTCTGTCTTTAATGGGCCCTCTATGGAAAAAAGGGAGATAAAAGGGAGAGTTGGATGGTCTTACTGGCAAAGCAAAGGTTTACTGGCATACAATTTAAAAAAGACTGTGGTAAGGACACCCCTCACTGTTGTCCTGTACTCCCACTCTCCCAGCTTTAATTACAGGGACAGACTCTGTCCCATCTCCACAGTAGACAGCAGTACTACTGATCAGTCATCCAGCGAGAGGGGAAGCATCTCCCAGTAATCACAAAATTGATTTTTCTTTAACCTGGAAAAAGAGAAAACAAGGAAGAAATCCCTCCAATTTTTCTGCAGAGCATGCAGCCAGCATGGAGAAGTCCTCCAATCACCCACCAAGATCCAGAATGACGGCCAGGAAGGAGAGGGACAGGGGAGCCTCAGAGGCTCCAAGGAGGAATCCTCAGAGGAAGCCGAAGGTGGAGCAGCTCTCTGAAGCATCATCGGTGAGGAAAGAGAAGCTGGGGACGCATGTGGGGAAGATGGAGCAAGAGACAGAAGTGAAGGTGAAATCAACGGTGGTGGATATAGACAGTGTGAGAGATAATGAAGTCAAGGATGAGAATGTGGGGCTCCTGGAAGCAGCAGAGCAGGATGACAGTGAGTCAAAGTGTTTTTATTTTTTAAATATATGTTTTTCATATCTGCAAGTGTGATGAGACGTCTTCATGAAAGACTGCTGATCTTTTCAGGTCTGAAGCATAAGAAGCTGGGAGTCTGTGAGTGGCTGCTGATGGTCTTTGTCTTGGCTCTGGTTCTCCTCTTCTTCCCTCTTTCCATCTGGTTCTGCGTCAAAGTACGGACTAAACCTCTGATCCTACAAAGATCTGACATGTCTTTAGAAGATAGGCTGACCGCTTTGTGTTGAATATCAAACTGACACTTGAGCAACCACATGTTGATTCACAGGTAGTGAGGGAACACGAAAGAGCTGTGATCTTCAGACTGGGTCACCTACTGCGTGGAAAACCCAGAGGACCAGGTCGGCCCAGATTTCATTCTTATTTTTATTTATACTTTATTTTTATCTATTTATGGAAAGATCAACATGCAAGGAGTGGAGGTAGTAAGGGAGTGAATTTAAATACCTGGGCTTTACCATTCAAAGCAATGGGCAGTGCACAAGAGAAATGGAGACGAGAGAGCGGACGGTGGATAGGTGGTGATGAGTTTAATGGTTGGAAGACCGCAGTGAGACGATGGCGCTGACAAGACGACAAGAGGTGGAGCTGAGGATGCTAAGATTTTCATTAGGAGCTACCAGGAAGGATAAGATTAGAAATGTGTGCTTCCAGACAGCAGCCTGTGTGAGGGTCGATAACGTATTATGAATCGCAGCTCATGAGAAGCCTCACTGTGACACCCACTGTCCCCTGTGTCTTTCTTCCTCTTCAGGCCTTTTTTTCCACCTCCCACTTCTCGACGTGTGTCACAAAGTTGACATCCGACTGAAGATGTTGAAGGTTCCTCCTCACGTGGTACAGAAATAGACACGCACTGCATCACATATTTAAATATTCCCGTTTGGAATTGCGACGTGTGTGTTCTCATATGTTTGTACGCAGGTGGTGACAAAGGACTTGGTGAGGCCGGAGCTGAGCGCGGTGTGTTATTACCAGATAGAGAACGTGGCACTGTGCAGCTCAGCTGTATCCAGTCTGACCGCAGTGCTGCAGAGTCTGGTCCAGGCTGCAGTCAGAGACGTTCTGGCCCAGCAAACATTCAGCCACGTCCTGCTGCACAGGCGGAAGATCGGGGAGCAGATACAAGCAACGGTCGACTCCTTCGCTTGTCGCTGGGGCGTCAGGGTGGAGAGGGCAGACATGTAAGACCAACATCATTTCTCCTTCCTCTGTAATTCATCTTTTTTTAAATGCGCCTCCTTCACTGCAGATGTTCATTAACTGGAAGTCAAGGCTGAGCCAAAGCAAAGCAGCTTTAGCTTTATTTTGGCAGAATCTAAAGAAATACTAACTTGCACAATGAAAACGCATCACTTGTTGGAAGAGCACGGCTGACCAGGCTGGGTTGCGCTTGTGTTGTCAGAGACGAGCTCAGTTTTCCTGCGGAGATGCAGCAGAGCCTGGCTGCCGCTGCCGAGGCCAAGAGACAGCAGCAGATCAAAGTAAGTGCTCACATCGGTTTCTGTAAAACAGCAACTTTGAACCCATGTGCTCCAAACTTCTGTCTCTACTCTCCACAACATTAGCGATGAAAACATCCACGAGCCGTTCTCTTCTACAGGTGAAGGCAGCAGAAAGTGAGATGGCTGCCTGGGATGGATTTCGGGCTTCCCTCCGTCACCTTCAACCTGCCTTGGTCCTGCCTTTCCCTCCGAGCCTCAACTCCGACGTGTCACCCCTACCTCCCCCTCCTCCCCCGTGCGTGGAGGGGGACGGCGGGATGTCACCTGAGGAGCCAGACACAGACTCGCCAATGATGTGAAGCTTTATTCATGTTAAACTCAGGTGAACTCTTGCTGCATTTAAACTGGTGATTTCCATGTGTAGAAAAGAAAGAGGCAAACACAGCATAAAGGAACATAGCTTTTAGTCCTCAAATGTGTTCTTTAATGTCTTAACTGCAAATAATCAAACTGTAAAATGTGCAATCAAATCCGAGTTCAGTCAGTACAACAAAGGAGTGTTACTTCATGCAACAGGAAACACACAAATCTTTATTTTCAGAAGGATGCAGAAATAAATGTGCCTTCATCCACACTTGAAACACATATCATAGGATTAAACTAAGCCACAGGAAGCCTCTAAATGATATCATGCTCAAGTGCTATTTGTCTTCTTCATGTAGTCCAGGGGTGTCCAATTCGGGGCCTCGAGGGCCG